TATTCCGGGGTGGGCCGCTGTGAGATGTTTTGCGTTCTCTTGGAGCGAGCAAGACAGAGATAGAGAGAGACAGCAACAGACAGAGAGAGAGAGAAGAGAGACAGAAACAGTAATCATCATCAAATGGCATTATTGTTATGATAATGGCCATAACATAATAAACAAGAAGAGTGAGAACAACGGAGATGACAAAAGATAGTACGAATAATCAGCATCGACAGAACCATTAACAATAACAGCAACGAAAACTAGAGTACGAATACGAAGAAGATGCACACACACACACGATAAGATTAGTAGCTTGTAACAAGCCTCAGGGGTTTCGAACTGTGCAATGCGATCTAAGTCTTGTAAGCTTTCCGCCCGTCAGGTCTCCATCCGCCAAGCTTCTCGGTAGCATTGGGTTTCAGGCTCAGGGTTGAGGATTGAGGATTCTTAGGATTTTAGGTTTTGGGTTCAGGATTCGGGAGTTGGATTTATAGGGCTTACTTGGAGGGTCGGGGGACTTAGTAACTGGTTATTTTAAGGACTTATAAGTACCATAACCCCAATTAGGGTCCCTTTTAGGGTACTTATAAGTCTACTTACTACCTACTTACTAAGTCCCGCGACCCTCCAAGTAGGCTTCAGGGTTTAGGGCTTGTGGCACTGTCAATACGCAGTGTACACTTCCTCCTATAGCACTGGTCAAGAAAAACGCTGCTGCAGCGATCGCTGGGCGCGTCCGCGTTGCTATGCTTACTGTAATCGCTCATCTTCTTGATGTCCCATGAATATGTGCATTTGCTGCTGCTGTCCGGAGCGCATAGTAGCAGCATCGATTCATCAAGCCTTTTGGCGTGCCTTTCAAGAGCAGACGCTGTCACAACATCAATGTGCAACCAAGCTATGACCATCAGAAGCCTAATTAAGGGCTCTGAGAGGGCTGTTTATGTGGTTTAGGGTTTTGAGTACAGGCTTTGGGTTGTGGATTTAGAGTTATCGGTTTGGGGCTTTGGGTATCAGGGTTTATAGGGATGAGGCAGTCTTATCCAGCGTTTACAGTGGAAGATAGGCCGGCCTATCCAAACTTGGATGCCCCTGCTCACCTGCTCAACCACGGAATCATCCAGTATGGAAAGATATCTTCCAAAGCGAATGCCTGTTGTCCATTCAGTGTTTCCTCCCAAGAGTCCATGTGCCCAGGTAATGTGTACTTAGGCCTCAAAGTAGTTCCTTTTTAAGTACTTTTGGCCAAAGTGGTACTTCTGGGCCAATGTATGTACTATATGAGTAAGTACGTGGACCCTCAGGGTTCTAGATTTCGCAACGGCATGTGCAACACAGCTGTAACTGCAGGTGTCACCCACGCAAGTCTTGGTCCGTGAGACCCCGTAAATCAGGGGACAGTAGATGCAGGATTGCGCAGGTTATAAGCATGCTCGTTATAGCGGTCATGCGCAATGCCAGTGCCAGCCTGGCCTGGACCATGATTTCCGACATAATTAAGCCTGAGCCCTAAACCCTGGAATCAGTTCCAAACCCCACCCTAGACCCTCAATAAACAGCTGTACAGCCCTACCAAGCCCGCGCAGAATCCCCCATAGGCATAGTCACTCAGATACTGACAGTGAGCCACCTTGAAATACCCTAAACCTTAAATCCTAAACCCTCAGCCCAAATATGGTTTCCAAAAATAGGCGATCCCAATATAGCACCCTAGATGATAGGATCCTTATAAGGGCCCCAAAATAAGGTACCCCCTAAGTTTCGGAAACTCCCAAACCCTAATCCCTAAACCCGCAATAGAACCCAAAAAGATCCCTTTAAGGAACCCTGAAAGGATCCCTTTAAAGGTACCCCCCGAGTTTTCGGAAGCTCCCAGGCGGCCCGATCAAGGACGCCAACGACAAGCCCATGGAGCCGGGTCCCACCATGTGCATCAAGGCAGGGTCCCGACTGGGTCGGGGTTTTTGGGGTTTAGAGGAGAGTAGGGTTCCTTCACAGGGGTCTTTAAGGACTACTGTAAAGGGTTTCGGTTTAGGGGTTTGGGGGTAGTTTAGGGCTTTAGGGTTTAGGGTTGAGGGTTTAAGGGTTTAAGGGTTTCGGGTTTCGGGGTTTGGGGCATAATAAGGGTTGAGGGGTGCAGGGTTTAGGGTTAGCAGGGTAACCAGGGTGGTAGAGGGAGAAGGACTGTGTGCTACGGGGTGTTATAGTAATGAGCGATACGTTGAAGGGTTTTGGGTGTTACATGTGAAAAGTTTTAGGTTCTGCAAGTCTTGCTGGTCTTCTCAAGCTGCAGAGCAGGGCCTTAGCTTGCAAGAAGACCTAATGCCAAAAGTATGGCAAGATGTTGTTTTATTGCATTGCTTGAAGTCCTTGGAAAACCTCCCAGCGAGCCTAACAGGGAAACCAGCAAACATAAATAGTATAGGGGCCTTAATAACTACCTATAGAAGTTTGGGGGCTTCCTTATCATACTTATAGTATAATGGAGCCCCAAAACCCTATTCTAATCATTAAGGCCCCTAGACTAGCCGTCCCGGCGTCCTGCACACCGCCACCCGAACCCTGCCAGGACTGTTTTTGTTTTTTTGTTCGAAAATGGAGACCTCCGAAAAGATCGATGTGCCTTCAGGCCAACACAAGAAGCCGACGCCCTGACCACCGAATACCCAATCATACACCCTGAAACCTTTTTAACCCCAAGCCTCATGGTTTAGGAGTTTGGAGTCGGTTTAGATGTTTAGGCGTTTGGGGATGGTTTGGGGGTTTGGGGATGGTTTGGGGGTTTAGGGGTTTATGGATTTGCAACCCCCCGGCCAAGTCCCAGAGCTTGTGCGAGGTGCCTGAGGGGGCGCCTGGCACGACAATCCAGGTGCCCCACCCCAAGGCCAAAGGTAGCTTTGACGGCAACGAGGAAGCTCATACCCCCACAGCTTACGAGTACTGGCATCTTACTACACAGTATCATCGTATCTCCGCAGTTGAGAAGATAGCCGCAGAGCCATTCAGCTGTCTTGTGCGTTGTGTGTACGCATGCCATATCATAATACTGTTAAACCTACATACACATATTTTTGTATATATATATATGCATGTATGTATGTATCTGTGTCTGTATGTATGTATGTATGTATGTATGTATGTAGCCAGAAATGATCATGTCTGTGGGACCGGGGTCTCGAAACAAAAACCAACACAGCCTGATGTAGAATCCAAGTAGACGCCTTCTTGGTGCGACCCTGAACAGGATGCCATTCCCTAAGGGTCCATGTACCCAAGTAGTATATACTTTGGGCCCAATGTACCCATATCGGGAGTACTTTAAGGCCAATGTATATGGGTGGTTGTCAATATTAGGGTCCGTTTTGATGGGGTCCTTATTATAATGCGGCACCTAATAATATGTAGGGGTCCAAAAAAGGGACCATAGTCTTGACAACCACCCATATACTATTTAGGTACATGGACCCTTAGGGATCGCTTTGTGCAAGTCTTTACGCAGCATCTGAGGGCACCTGGGAGCCCAGCGACTAGAGCATGGCACCACAGCACATGGGAGCTTCCGAGAATTAGGGGTACCTTATTTGGGGGGTCCTTACAATAATTAAAGGTCCTAATTACTACTTAGGGTACTATATTAATTAGGGTCCCATATTTTCGGAAACTCCCATATGGTGGCCTGAATAATCTATACCCTGAGCACCTGTACGAGCATGTAGTCATTCAGGCCCGCGTATCGAGTCTTCCACTTGACATCGCTGCCGTGAGCACAGCAGCCCAGCAACCTGTGCTGTGAGCAACTGAACTCGGCGAAGGGCCCACATAGCACGGCTTCTGGGATCAAACATCCTGAAATTGAACGCCTGGGCCTAGGGCAATCTAGGATAGAAAAACCTCCAGAGTTAGCAGCCGTGCTTGCCAAGCTTGAAGGCTCGTTGCTGCGTTTGAAATCCTGCTTCGCGAAACTCAACACACTGTACTCGGTTGTTAAGCTCCCAGACGCCAAAGCAGACCTAGCCCAGCATGATTGAAAAAGCGGCCTGCCGAGAAGTTGGCAAAGGAGGTATAAGCATCCCTGAAACGTCGAGCTACTCGTAGTACCCTAGCCTGTTGCTCAATTTGGACAGATCTGTTGAAGGTCTAGGCTCCTATAGGCTAGGGGGTAATGTAAGCCATTGAGGCCTACAATCCCTACAAGCGCTGCAGACCCCTGAGGCTGTTGCTTCGAGGTGAAACCAAAAGCCCCGAACCGTCACCCACCGAGGCTGCTTCTTTGAAACCTTAAGCCCGAAACCCTGAACCCGAAACCGGAAACCCTACCTTAACTGCTCGGCGGAAAAAGGCGTTCAAAAAACAACAACTGAAACGCTAAACCCCCACGACTACTACTACTACTACTACTACTACTACTACTACTACTACTACTACTACTACTACTACTACGACTACTACTACTACTACTGCTACTACTACTACTACTACTACTACGACTACTACGACTACTACGACTACTACGACTACTACTACTACTACTACTACTATGCAACGCTTGTGTTTTGACATGTCAGCCGAACAGTTGTGAAGCTCTGAAACCTGTGGCCCCTACCTCTCAAGAGAGGGGCCCCTTTTGCGAGTCACGACTTTGAAGCCATAGGCTGCGATTGCTGTCGGTGCGACAGTAAAAGGTGCCGAGCGCGCTGTGCGCTTGATAAGTGAACGAGCCCGATTACCTCCCCGCGCTACTTCTGCTGCATTGGCAGCGGAGCACAAACGCTCCAGGTACCTACCGGTGCTCCCCGCAGGCTGCTACCTTGATCTGGAACTGACCCCACCCGACTACTTCCTTGCCTAGCAGCCAGGCTCTACGGTGGTTGGTTCCTCCTGCAGAACGACGGTGTCCTCTGCAGGGTTTTCTCCTTCTTCTTCTACGCTCTCCTAAGGACAGCGTGGGTTTTCTTTCTTCTGCTGTACGTCATTGAGATCCTTGTCGAGGTGAACGACGAGAAAGGGAGATCATGGCCGACTCGCGAGATGCGGGTCACGTCCCGACATGGGATGGAAGCGCCCGCAACTGGCGCAGGTACACACGTGAAGTGGCCTGGTATGTTCAGTCTACCCCGGTCTACAAGAGGCGCTACTGCGCTTCAAAGTTGATGGGCAAGCTTACGGGACCTGCCCGCCTTCTCGCTATGTCATGGCCTCAGATGACATTTGATGCAGAGGACGGGACGAAGCGCCTGTTACAGCGCTTAGCCGGAAGTCCTCTCGTCCGCAAGTCATTACCAAATGCTGCAGCGATTTGCCAACAGTATTTTTCGTTTCGTCGAGGACAGCAAGAGTCCATGGGAAGCTTCCTGGTCAGGGAAACGTTGGTTCATGAAGAGTTTGTTGAGGCACTGATTCGTCTTCATGAAGAACAACTGGGCATCTCGCAAGACAGCAGAGACTTTGGTCTTCCTCCCGTGGAACCGGAAGACACCTGGGAGAATCCCTGGTGGGGTTCCGCGGAGGACTACCAGGATGAAGACGCATCGAGGGCCGATGGTGATCAAGGCCCTGAGACCCGACCTGCTGGTGACGATCAAGAACTACCTGACGGAGCAGCTCCTGAGGTTCGCGGGGCCACCGGATCTTCGCCAAGCCATCGCAATGCTGAGGCGACGCCCACCGAGGGCGAAGTACGTGATGGACCCAAGAGTGCGATCGATGAGATGTCGGTGGCTGATTCGTTCATAATGGGAGTGCTGCGAGGATGGAGGCTGCTACAAGCAGCCGGATTGTCGGCTGAAGAAAAACGAGATATCCTATCGACCACCCGCAACAGCCTGAATTACGAGGTGATCTCTCAGGCTTTGCAGGGCTTGTGGGATGAGCAGCTTCTTGGACACCGCCCACCTGGAGGAGGCCACTTGAATTACGTGGACAATACGGATGCCTCCTACCTGAATTACCAGGACTACGAAGAGGATTGGGATGATGGATGGAGTTCCTGGTGGGACGAGTCCACTGCCTACTACCAGGAGCCCGATGATGATTGGTGGGATGGATCTTGGGAGAGTCCCGAGGCCCAGGCTGTGAGCACGGTGGATGGCGAGGGCGACGATGATGGACGTCTTCGCGAAGCTCAACAGGCGGAGCAGGTGGCTGAAGCGCTGGCTTCCGAGGCACAAAGGACTTGGACGGAAGCGCAGAAAGCTACGGCTGCTCTACGGAAAGATCGCGGCTTTGGTGCTGTGGTCCAGAAGGGCGGCCCACCTCGATGCTACAACTGCGGCGGACCTCATTTCGTCCGTGATTGTCCCCGACAGGCCACTAAAGGAAAGGGCAAGGGCATCTACAACGTGATCTACGACGACTACTACACCCACAAGGGCAAGGGCAAGTCCAAGGGAAAGGTTCGCCCCAAGGGCTGGGTCCGGAACTCCATGATGGAAGCGCAGGCCCAGTGGATGAAGGGCAAGACCAAGGGCAAGCCGCAACACCCGATGCGAACAGTCAATGCATATGCCACTGAGGCCCACTATCTCGGTGGTCTTGAACTTCGTGATTCCCTGGACTTGGCATCGGCCAGCACGTCGGTTCCAGCTGAACCCCAGGAGCACATCGGCATGCTGGACAGTGGGGCCACGGCATCGGCGGCGCCTGAAATGGTGATCCGCGGCCTCATTTCTTCCATTCTCACCATGGACAAGAGTGCTACCGTGGACTTCGATGCATCCGCGCGACCGTACTTCAGGTTTGGGAATGGGAGATGGGGAAGAGCCTTGAGCCGTGTGAGTGTTACCAGTCGTGCTTCTGGAGTTCCTGTAACATTCTCGTTGTACATGCTGCCCAATCCGCCTACTGCCATCACCGATCGAGCATCAGTACCACCCCTTCTTGTTGGTATGGACTTCATCCATGAAGTTGGTCTTCTTGTTGATTTCAGGACGGGCCTAGCGATGAACACTCGCGAAGATTCACCTGTGATCTATGAATTACCTCGGAATCGCAAGGGCCACCTCATGGTAGATGTACGCCACCATCTAACGAAAGGTCAAGTATGTGATCATGGTCATGTGCATGCTTCGGTTCTACAATCCCCAGCTGTGCCTGTACCTGATCAGTCAAACAACTGGCTTGAGTTAAGTACCATGTGGATTGACATGTCTGCTTGCGATGAACAGTTTGATCAGCAAGAGCGTGCAGAAGTTGAAGCTCACATGTGGAAGTTGTTTGAGAAAGCTCGTGATCATGATCCTCTGATTGCTTCAGCTTCTACAGCTCAGATGAACCGTGCCACGACGGCACAGCCCTCCTCATCAACTCCCTCTTCGTGCTCTCTGCTTGATGGCGGCGTATACCCCTCAGCAGCTGACGGCGGCCTCCGAGAAGATAGTGGTTGCGAGCATCAAGGCCAAAACCAAGGCCAAATCGAAAGCTCCTCCTCTGGACCCACAACGACGAGTACCAGGAGACACTCGGGATCCTCGAGCGTCAAACAAGGTTTGGCCGTGGCTACAACCAGCACATTGCGGACACACCGAAGAGCAATGCTCACGGCGAGTGGGTTCACTGTGCAGTCTGCGACCTACGACTGTCGTACACCCCGCGAGAAGGGTCACATGGTCAGACGACCAGTGTCAAGAATCCGGCAATGGTGCAGCGGATGCTGGACGAGCTGCAGCCACTGATGGGCGACTTCATGCCAACGGCTACGATCTGCAAGGCCATGCAAGCCAAGATCGACGCCGAGGAGACTCTCCGCACAGCGATCATCCAGCACAAGCAATCGGCGACAACTTCGACTTCCTCGACCATGGTGAAGACGACTACTCGGCGAACACCGCAGACCCCAGACAGCTCCAACGGAAGCTGGCAAATGACGATGGACAACGACCTCCCGGCAGCCTTCGAGGCAGCTCAACAGCAAGAGTGAAACCACTGCCAACATCCGCTACCAATGTGCGTCCTCTACCACGACAAATTGGGAAGCAAGTGATGCTCTTTGCCTCCATGATGACGGCAGCTACGACCTCGCTTCTTGCTGGACTTCATTTAGATGGTCGTGATGGTGTGTGGGAAATTTCTATGGGACCCCACGATTGGCTACACCAAGCATGCGAACAAGAAAGCCTACGACCACGTCGATTTGATCTACGATCTGGGTACGACCTGTACAAGGCCAACTCATGGAGCCAAATGCGCGAGCTCCGTCGAGTCCACCAACCACAACGTCTGTGGATATCCTTGCCTTGTGACAAATGGTGCCCATGGAACCGATCTGAGAAAGAATGGGTCCGACGACAACGTGATCTTCAGAAGGGCAACAAGCTTATCTGGTCAGCGGTGGAGTTTGTCAAGGATACCCTCATCGAAGCCCCCGACACAGAGATCTATTGGGAATGGACGCATCCCACCGATGGTCTCAGCCAACCGGCTCTCCGGGATCTAGCTTCCTTCCTTGACGAGGCCAATATTCCCTGGCTTCGATGTCGAGTCGACGGTTGTGTCTATGACCTACGCGATCCCAAGACCCAAGGACACCTCCAAAAGAAATGGTTAATCATGACAACCGATGAGAAGTTCCACAATGCCTACAGAGCTAAGGTATGTCATGGTGGCCATCGACATGATCTACTACAAGACATTGAAGTCAACAGCAACGTCTACTACCCATGGAAACTGTGCTGTTCGATTGCTCGCCACTGGAGCAGTCTCTTGGTACCGGTACGGCATCTACGACTTCTTCATCGACGAGAGGATCTACGAGCTCTTCTGGATGCGGAAACCCTCGAGACCAATGAGTGTGACCACGCAATCGACAACACCTCTCCGTCAACAACTACCAGAGTAGATGATGCTATGATTACCATCGAGACCAATGAGTGTGACGACGCAATCGACAACAACCTCTCCATGGACTTTGTTTTAGATGACTATGCCGTCAGTGCATCTGGGTCGTTCATCAATGACTATGCCGTCAGTGCATCTGGGTCAAGTCGAAGAGCTACAGAAACTATGGCTAAGGAGGCTAGGCGGAGCAAGGACTACTCCTTTGAGATGTGCACCGACATTGTGGAGTCCCTACAAGGTGATCCCGGTAGAAAAGGCCAACTACACTCTCGTGGAAACCAGCCTGGGGTCACCAGCCTTCTTCTCGGCGGCTATTCCCACGGCAAGTTCAGCGGTGTAAGCCGTCGCACAATGGCCTATCCCGAAACCGTACAGTACATCAATGAGTTTCTTCGTCGACTTGCCCCTCAAGAGCAATGGTCCAGCCTACAAATCACCTATGGGATCTCCGCGCTACCTCATCGGGATGTTCACAATTTGAGGACGTCCAGGAACATTCTGGTGGGTCTCGGCTCCTATACCGGCGGCGAGCTCTGGGTTTATGGCGATCCACCTGGTGAACAACTGGAAGCACGGCGTCTACTACCAGACGGCTCCCGACCTCGAGGCTACCTCTTACCGACTCACCACAAGGTTGCCATCTTCGACCCCATGTCTTGGCATGCAACCCAAAGATGGTCTGGACGCCGCATTGTGATTTCGGCCTATACTACAAGGCTGATCCCATGGATACAAGCATCCGACAGGAAGATGCTCACTATGCTCGGATTTCCTCTTACTGATCCTCGTGCGTACTCAATGACAACGATGGCTGTGGAACAAACCTCTGATGATGCCGCGAGACCTGCAGCCGATGAACGTGATGCACTACCACCACCTCCACTTCCAGAAGGCGTCACTCAACAGGAAGTTGATCAATGGCAAGCCAAGGTTGCCAAACTTCACAAAGCCGGTGGACATCCTACAAACCGAAACTTGGCACGCATTGTTTCTGAAGCTGGACACCCGCAATGGAAAATACAGATTGCTCGAGACTATCAATGTCCTACGTGTTCCAGCCTTCGACCTGGCGGCACCAGTTCAAAGCAAATTCCACCCGCCAGCACTCATAAGCAATATGCTGCTTGGGAAGCTGTGGCTGTTGATGCCGGCGAATGGGTCCCACCGAATTCCAAGAAGAAGATCAACTTCCTCCTCTTCATGGATGTTGCCACCAAATTACGAATTGTACAACCACTTGAGACCTACGACTTCCTTCAAAGACGATCCGAATCCTCCCAGGACTTCATCAAGGCCTTTGCTGAACGATGGTTGGGAACCTTCCCAAAACCCCGAGTTCTCCTGCTGGATTCGGCCAAGAGCTTTATCTCAGAGAAGATCCACGACTTCGCCTCCGACCTCAACCTGCTGGTCCACTACATAGCTGAAAAGGAAAGCTGGGCTCATGGTACCATTGAAGCCGCTGTACAAGATGTAAAGATGACAGCGTCGGCCATCCATCTGGAAGCTCGCGATCAACCCCTGGATGTGACCCTCCAATTGGCGGTCTCTGCTCTCAATTCCACTGAGTTCACTGCGGGCTTCTCTGCATACCAATGGGCTTTTGGCCGAAACTTCAGTTTGACCGATGAGGACCATGTGACGTTCCAACAAATGGACCCGAGCAGTGATTTTGTTCAGCTTGTTACGTCGAGGCAAAAAGCAGAAGAGATCGCGAGGACCACTCGAGCCAAGCGTGTTCTCACGAAGCTCAGCAATACCAGTGTTCGACAACCACTACGCCTATACAATCCAATGGATCTGGTGAAGGTCTGGCGAAGAGTTTGGCCTCAGACCCAACACAAGGGGCCAAAAGGTGGATTTCGAATGTCTGCCCGACCACATTGGGTCGGCCCTGGACGTGTGGTTTTCAGTGAAGTCCTACCTCACCAAGAACGAGATGATGATCGTCGACATATTGTATGGGTTCTGATCGGAAAACAACTCTTCCGGTGCTCCACTCATTCTGTGCGACCCGTCAGTGAGACAGAGCGCTTCGAGTACGAGACTACCAGCAACGAGGACCCGAGCACCTGGAAATCCTTGTCCGATCTGCTACCCAAGCGCGAGTACTACGACCTCACCGACCAAATCCCTGAACAAGACGAAGTGGAACTTCCTGATCTACCACCTCAACCAAATGCAACAACCACAGTGATTCCTCGCCGGAGGTTGACGCACAAAACTTCCTTCAGACCGGGCGACTATGTCAACGACCCTGTACAAGATCGACTACAACGGGAAACCATCGAGGAAGCGACGGAACCTCCATCGGTCAATGACTACAACGAACCAGCTACCTCATCCACTACCCTTCCGACTACTCGACCAAGCACGTCTGGTGATGATCAAGTACCCAAGCGGGCTAAAGTGGAATCCCACAAACGGTCCAAGGTGGAGAACTACGACCTACGCTGGGTTGAGGAGCTGGAAGCCGGTGCTGCTGAGGAGCAGTCCTGTGGAGACTTGTTTTCAGCAATGGAAGAAGTAGATGACTTCTTACGAGTGGAGATTGACATTGGTCCATTGGAGTCACACCGGCAACAAAAGATGTTCCTTCGCAATCCCGTCGCCTACATGGTCAAAAAGATGCGTGACACGGAAGTGGTGCTGAGCAAACTACCACCTCATGAACGAGAACTATTTGCACGTGCCAAAGCCAAAGAAGTGGACAGCTTCTTGAAGAACGAAGCAGTCCGGAAGTGTCTTGATCAAGATGAGGTTCGTCAAGCATATGGATCTCAGAGGATTGTGAAAGCTCGATGGGTGCTCACATGGAAGCTGGTGCCAACCGATGAGCAGAAGGAAGCGCAGGCTGATGCGACCACAAACCCCAAGACATTGCATGATGCTCATGGACGTCGCAAGGCCAAGGCCAGGATTGTTCTTCTAGGGTTCCAACATCCTTCACTGCTGGACCCCTCCTTCAAGACCTCGAGTCCTGTGCAATCCACACTGGGTCGCAACTTGCTCTACCTTTTGGCGGCACACTATCAATGGTCACTAGAAGGTCTCGACTTGGCTACTGCCTTCTTGCAGACCAACCCAACGGCCGCTGATGAGCAACTTTGGACCACTGGGGTGCAAGAGCTACGTGAAGCACTTGGCATTGAGGACGAAGGCATCATGCGAATACTCCGAAATATTTATGGGTCGACAACGGCACCCCGCGGACTCTGGCTTGATTTGCACAAGAAACTCACGCAGCTTGGAGGAATTGCAGTTCTCGGTGAGCGCTGCTTATGGGTGTGGTTCTCAAAGCAGGACACCGATGCCTTTGGCTTTCGCAAGCTGCTTGGTGCAATGGGCGGCCATGTGGACGACTTTCACAGGGTCGGCAACAAGGAGTCCTCGGAATGGCTTGCAATCCGCGATCAGATTGACAAGGCCTACAAGTGGGGAATGGCCAAAACCGGCTCATACCGTCATGCCGGCACAGATGTGTCGACTGAAGTGGACGCAGACGGCTACCAGAAGATCGTGGTGGACCAATCGTACTACATCGAAGGCCTACAGGACATTGAGATTCCACCGGAGCGCCTCATGCGTGATGATCGCATGACCAGTCCAGAAACGGCCGCCTGCCGAGCAGCCTTGGGAGCGCTACAGTGGTTGGCAGTGCAATCACAACCTCAGCTGTGTAGCCGCTGCAACCTGCTTCTCACGGAGACCGTCACCGATGGTACTTTGACCACCGCCCGTGAGATCCAGTATATGATCAATGAGGTGCGCCGCGAGTCCTACAAGCTACAGTTCTTTCGACTTCCAAAGGCGAAACATTGGACTGAGATTGTCTTCATCTCCATGGGCGACCAAGCTCATGGAAATCGAGCCAAGGGGGACTCAACAGGCGGAATGGTCACCCTTGCCGCTGGTCCAGTTTCCCTTCAAGGAGTTGTGTGCCCTATGGTGCTTCTTGGCTGGCGCACATGGAAGCTCAAGCGGAAGGCCATTGGATCGAACGACGCGGAGGTTCAATCCATTGTGGAAGCAGAAGATCAAAATTTCAGAGTGCGTCTACTGTGGACGGAGATGAATGGCGCTGGACTTGAGAAGCCCATGCGGAAGGACCTGGTGGAGACCATGGAGCAACAGGTCGTGCACGTGAAGGGTGTTCTGTGCACGGACTCACGAGGCGGCTACGATGCTGTTGAAGTGAACGAGTCGCCGCTTCTTGGACTTTCCAATATGCGGTCAGCTCTTCAGGCATTCCAGCTTCGTGACAATCTTCGTCGTGCCGGATGCGGTCTTCGCTGGGTGAACTCCGAGTACGACCTTGCAGATGCTTTGACGAAGAAGAGAGCTGATGCACGAGCTGGTCTGATCAAGTTCCTTCAGACGTGGCATTGGTCGATAGCCTTTGATCCGAGTTTTACTTCGGCTAAGAAAAGCAAGAAAGCCGGACGTACAGCAGTAGGAAAGGTGGATGAACATTTCCGCCTTCAAGGGCAATCAGCTGGTTCGGCTGAATCCTTTTTGGGGTTGGTGCAACGCTTGTGTTTTGACATGTCAGCCGAACAGTTGTGAAGCTCTGAAACCTGTGGCCCCTACCTCTCAAGAGAGGGGCCCCTTTTGCGAGTCACGACTTTGAAGCCATAGGCTGCGATTGCTGTCGGTGCGACAGTAAAAGGTGCCGAGCGCGCTGTGCGCTTGATAAGTGAACGAGCCCGATTACCTCCCCGCGCTACTTCTGCTGCATACTACTACTACTACTACTACTACTACTACTACTACTACTACTACTACTACTACTACTACTACTACTACTACTGTTACTACTACGACTACTACGACTACTACGACTACTACTACTACTACTACTACTACTACTACTACTACTACTACTACTACTACTACTACTACTAGCCTTCTCCCACCAAGGCTGCTTCTTCGAGGTGAAGGTGCCGGATCGCGCCAAGCCCGGCCAGGCGATGCTGGTGCCCGTTCCGAAGGTCGAAGGCCCGCCCGGTGATTGGTGTTTAAGGAACCTAGACCCTCCATCTACCCTCTATTAGGCCCTAAATGCCCCTTATTTGGGACCATATACCTCTGTTTGAGGGTACAAAGGAGGTTAGGGTTTAGGGTTTAAGGTTTAAGGGTAAGGGTGATTGGTGCTTAAGGAATAATGCAGTTATGGTACACATAATGTAGGGGCCTTTTAGTAACTAGAATAATGTTTTGGAGGTTCCTTCTATATAAGTATAGCATGACATATCCCCAGACCCTGTTCGCAGGACTAAGGCCCCTATAGTATAGTCTCTTTATAGATGCCAAAAAGTAACCCGTATAGACCCCTTAAAAGGAACCCCTGTTCTAATTATTAAGGCCCCTATATTAGGTCCAGGAGTCCTGGAGCCTTTAGGGATTTATTTAGGTTTTAGGATGTGTTGCGGCTTGGCATCTGGGTTATGGTTCTATAGGTTATGGGGATTGGGGTTTTGTGGTCTCAGGTTTAAGGGTGGGTCGGGGAGTTGGGGGGGTCAAGTTCTTGGGAGCTTCCTTCGGACTTTAGTGCTGTATAATACAAGATCAGGGCTTAATGTAGGGGCTTAAGAAATTGCCAACGCTAGTTCTGGGGTTCCTTATTGTAACTGTAATATTAAATCTCCCCAAACCCTATTCGAATCATTGAGGACCCTGTATTAGACAAGTACCAATTACCAAAGCGCGGTACCCAATGAAGCCTTCGGGCAGCAGTCAACCCAAGATAGAATCATCCGAGACCTGCCGTTTACGTGGTTCCGGGTGTGGATCAGGTTCCTCCTAACTTCTGGACGGCAACGCCCCCAAAATATCCATTCGTCCCGCCAGCAGCCTCGACACCATCTTGCTTATGCAATAGCGTTTCAGAATAGTTCGCAGTCCCAGGAACTTTCCGATGCACATGCATAAGATGACCCTGAGCAATAGAAGCAAACTGCTAGGAAGAAACGATGCCTTACCCCATGAAGCATTACCCCGAAACCCTAAACCCGAAACCCCTTAAACCCCTAGATCCTAAATCCATGAAGCCTTACCCTGAAACCCTAAATCCTAAACCACTAAACCCTAAACCCATGAAGCCTTAACCCGAAACCCTATGCCCAAAGCACATCAGGAAAGCCGCCGGCTGCAGGAGGAGGAGGCTTTCCTGGCTTGGGGCTTGAGTCGTTGAGTGCTGCGTGTTAGGAGTGTCAGGCACCTGAGCTTTGGAGTACCATGCTGTTCTTGTCTTCTCAGGGTTTAGGGTTTAGGGGTTCTTAAAGGAACCAGTCTGGAATAAAGTTTATACTTTTTAGGGTTTAGGGTTTCTTTAAAGGAACCATTATGGAATAAAGTTTATACTTTTTTCTCCCTGGTCACATACACTAGCCCAGGAACAGGATGAAGTAAAGTAGAAGCCAGAAAGTTGGAGCATGAGTATCCTCATGGCATGAAGGTAAAGTATAGCGGATCCCAGCACGAATCATCCTAACTCCACGTCACAAAGTTCCAACTTTATGGAGTTCAACTTTCTGGGGCTCACTTTGTCGGAGCCAACACTGCAAGGCATGCCGGTCTAAAACACTTTCCAGATTATCCACATGGTTGCGTTTAGGGTTTAGGGATTTAGGGTTTAGGGTGTGGGTGGATGGATGGGTGAGCGGGTAAACCAAAACCGCCTAAGCAATCCCGCGGCAATCTGACAGCACAAAACACACTTTCAGACTCTGAATCCCAAGAGCTCTTAACAACAGCAGGCAGACAGACGCCTACACCATTTGGGTGGTTGTCAAAATTAGGGTCCCTTTTAGGGGGTACCCTAAATAATAGGTGGCGTACTATACTAGGGACCCAAAAAGGGACCCCAATTTTGACAACCACCCATTTATCTCTGTGAGGATAAACATCATCCTGAGGACTGATACCCTCGACCCGCTTTAGGGTTTAGGGTTTAGGGGTTTAGGGTTAAGGGTTTAGGGTCATCCTGAAGACTGATACCCTCGACCCGGTAGTAGGGTGCTGACACCAAAAACCATCGAGAGTACAGGTTATGGGGCCTACACACTGCTTGTTGGACCAGAAGTCTAACCCCCATACCAACAACCCCAAACCCACCCCCCCATAATCAGGTCATAACCCTACACCATAAACCTTAACCATATAAAAGTAAGAGGTCATGACCCTAAACCCTAAACCATATAGACTCTAGCCGTAAACCGTAATCCCGACCTACAATCATGGAGGTGCCGCGCCCGCCCCTGCTCCGACTCCGGCACCCGCCGCCGAGCCGGAGAAGTCGAAGTGCGCAGCCCGGGGAGTCGAACTGTCCAGGGTCCCCTTCTAGGGTTCCATTTAAAAGGCTCGTTTAAAGGGGTCCATAGTGGTTCTTTTGTAGGGTTCTACAAAATCAGGGCTGCTCCAAGCTAGGGTCCCGTTATAGGGCTCCTTAAAGGTATCAACAATTAGTGCTTCTCTACGCAGGATCCCGTTTTAGGGTTGTCTTAAAGGGATCACTCAGGGTTCTATAGGCTTTCTATAAGGGTACCATATAGGCAGTTCTCCAAATTAGGGTGCCGTTTTAGGTCCCCAAATGTACCGCACCCTTACAAACAGGACCCGAAATTTAGAGAACCACCCATATGTCATATTTCGTTCTAGCATAAATGCCCACATGATCAACAAGACCCCAACTCCCTCTTCTAGTAATTGAGGCTCTCTTGTAGGGCTTTAGGGCTTGAACAGTTTTCAGATTCCGGATATGAGTTTAATGTTGTGGGCTTGCGGCCTGCTGACAGTGCGGATATAGTGTTTTGTGACGACCTTGTAAGGCACAAAGGCTTGGATCAGGGAGGGGTTTTAGAGGTTTTGCGGATCATGCGAGAGCTATTTCATAATAGGGGTTCTGTGAGGTCTTGCTCACGGATTGTTCATGAGGGCTGTTGTAAAAGGAAGTTCTCGGGAAGTGGGTCTTGAAGCACTGGGCGACAACCGTGTTCCGTGTCTTCGGACGAAGAGACACATGGACCCGAAACAACCACTTCTGCATGTACGGTTTTGGTATTTTGAAGCCCTTATAGATTTCTCGAGCAACTCTTCATGGTATTCATGGACCCTAAAGCCCTATTCGAACTGTTACAGTACGATCCGTGTAAAAGTTATGAGTCGAGGGACCCATAAGGTTGCTTGCCAGAAGGATCCCCGGAAGAATGACTTGAAGGTCCTAGGTTGGGTACGGCCCCCACTCAGTAACAGTTGGATAATACTCATAATATTTAATAGTAGCCCTATTATAGACTGTTACTGTATGGGGGCCGTACCGAAGTCCTAGGGTTCCTGTAAATTGTATTGTTCCTTTGCCCAGATTTCCGGGAGGATCTAGAAAGTCGATGCCCTAATTTGGGGCCCTATACTACTAAGGGTACTTTATAGGAACCCCCATTAACTGATCTACTTTTTGGATCCTCCCGAAATTCTGGGCGAGAGATCAGGCCTCCTTCCATTAGAACAACCCCTACATGGCTTGATTCAGACGATTCCCATAGACCCAAGCCTATTCTTATGAAGGTCCCTGTTCTATCACCAAACGCTCAAAAGTATCCCAAAGTCTCTGACAGGGGCTGGAGCACTGGCGCCAAAGTCGCCGCGGGCGTAGGAGGTTGGCTTTTGAATTCAGAACGGGAACTTGCGGTTCCAGAATCTTAAGGTTGGTTGTGGCTTTCAGATTTTGAGTTGTGTAAGTTTCAGGATTCAAGGCACTCTAACGTTTTCAAGTTTAGATACGCAGGGACAGATGGGGGATGAAACGGGGGGAAGGAACCCAGGTAGCTCTGGCAGAGGAATACAGAGTCAGAACAGCCAAAGGGCCCTTATATAGACGCTTAAATTGATTACCATACGGTTCCGTAAATGTCCCTTCCCATAGCTTTAAATTTTCTGTAGTATACTCAGAACTCTGGTTCACAAAACTACGGCTCCTCTGTTGCAGCTTTCGGCCTTCGTCCGTTTTGGACTTCGGCTTCAGCCTCAAGCATGTGTCCGGGGACTGGTATTGAGATTCTCCGAAAGCCACTCTACCAAGCAAGGACCAAGCAGTACTACCTAGACCCCCAAAAGTAGGTAAAATAATGGCCCAAAACCTATAAACTGCTATTATTCCACATACTTTGGGGGTCCAGGTAATGCCTAGAAAAATCTCAAACCTTGCGTGCTTGTTAGATCTTCCTGGGGCCTTGGTTGTACAAAGGCTAGGGATACTACGGTTGATGATATAAATCCTGCATTACCCATAATAAGGAATACACCATAATTCCCATAGTTTAGGGTCCTTAAGGTAATGCAGGATTTATACTATCAACCGTAGCATTGTTTTATGAGGAAGCAGTCAGTCCTGGCTTGGGTGGCCATGGTCATGGTATCCCATGCAGGGATGTAGTACCTGTACTTACCCAAAGGGTCCAACTTACCGATATGGTAGAATGTAGGGTTTCTATATTAGGAATTACGATTATGATTTGGGGAAGTATTCCCCATAACAGTACATAGGACCCTTTGGGTTAGTACCTCTT